TGTTGCTTAGATTGATCTATTTTCTTAATTCTTAAGGCTGCCATTGAATTAAACTTAGAGAGCTTATTCTAGGTTGTTCGAGGGTTAGGATCTACTTGAAGAGCTTATTTCAATAGTGATGATTAAGGGAGAATTCGGGTAACAGAGCTTGTTGTTTCCTAGGGTCAGTAGTTCCATAACAACGAGATAGAATAGTGTTATGGTTAGTTCGTGTCCAATGCATGTTTAGGTGGATCTTGAACCGAGAACTGATTATTTTTAACCTGATTTTTTCTTCCATTAGAGACTTCTTTGTTTTACTTTAGTTTGCCTTGATTACAAACCCCTTTCATTACTGTTGTCATGTTTACTGTTTAGGGTTTTATTTTACTTTTCTGTTGTTTTTATTGTTTTAGAACATAGAATTTAATCGAAGCATTCCCTGTGGGATCGACCCTTGCTTACCTTATATACAATTCAGTAGTTAGGCTAGGAAGGTTATTAATTTGGAGCATTCGGCACGCTACCAATGACCTTAAGTGCTTTTCATGCTTCTGCTGTGACAGAGCCTTTGTTAGTGGATCGAAGAGATTGTCATCAGCATGTACTTTGCAAATTTGCACATCCTTCCTCTAAGCCTTTTCTCTGATTAGATGAAATCATTTGAGTATGTGTTTGGATCGAGACTTAAGCTATTGCTCTATTGTTGTCACAATAGACATCTACTGGATCAACAATAGTAGAAATCACGCCAAGTTTAGTGACGAACTTCTTAATCTAAATCGCCTTTTTGGCCGTATTAGATAATGCAATATACTTAGATTCTGTTGTAGAGTTTGCTATAGTGCTTTGCTTGGAGCTCTTCCAGCTCACTGCAGCTCCATTGAGACAAAATGCAAAACCAGACTGCGAGCGATAATCTTCTTTATCCGTTTGGAAACTAGCATCACTGTATCCTCTAATAGCGAGTTCATTATCTCTTCCATAAACCAAGACCATATCTTTAGTCCTTTTCAGGTACCTAAGAATGTTCTTGATAGCTATCTAGTGACGCTTGCCTGAATGTGATTGATATCTACTACAAGTGTTTAATGCACATGAGACATCAACCCAATTACATAACATGTCATACATGATAGATCTAATTGCAAACACATATGAGATCTTCTTCATCCTATCTTTCTCTTCTTGTGTTTTAGGACACATATTTTTAGAGAGATATACACCATGTGACATCGAAAGAAACCCTTTCTTGGATTCTTTCATACTGAATCTCTTTAGTACCTTGTCTATGTATGTAATCTGACTTAGGCCAAGCAGCCTACGCGATCCATCACGATAGATCTTTATTCCAAGGATGTAGGCCACTTCTCCTAAGTCTTTCATGAAGAAACACTTAGAAAACCAAGTCTTTACCGACTGCAAGTTTGGTATATCATTCTCGATAAGAAGTGTGTCGTCGACATACAATACTAAGAACGCAATTGCGATCCCATTACTTTCTTGTAAACATTGGGCTAATCTTTGTTCTTGATGAAAACGAAGTCTTTTACAGCTTCATCAAAACAAATGTTCCAGCTCCTTAAAACTTGCTTGAGTCCATAAATGGATCTCTGTAACTTGAATATCTTATCAGCTTGTCCATTAAGAATGAAATCATCGGGTTGTGTCATATACACATCCTCTTCTAGGTTTCCATTCAGGAATAGGAAAGCTGATTTGACATCCATCTACCAAATTTCATAATCTTGATATGCAGCAATTGCAAGCATATTCTAGATAGACTTAAGCATCACAATCGGCGAAAAAGTTTCTTTATAGTCAATGCCATAAACTTATTTGAAACCTTTGGCAATTAGTTGTTCCTTATAGGTATGCATGTTACCGTCTATGTCAGTATTCTTCTTGAAGATCCATTTACACCCTATGGGTTCTACCCTTTCAAGTGGATCCACCAGAGTCTATACTTGTTTCTGGTACATGAAGTCCATCTCAAATTTCGTGGCTTCAAGCCATTTAATAGAATCTGGATCCAATAAAGTGTCATCATAGGTTCTGGGTTCATCGTCTTAGTAGACCAGTATGTCACCATACTGAGTCACGAGAAAACCATTTCTCTCGGGCTCACGACGTATTCTTCCAGACCTACGCAGCTCCTATGCAACTTGAGGTGGTTCACTTTGATCCACAGACTGTGGAGTAACCTCCTCACGATGTTCAACCATATCTTGTGGCACATCATCCTGTCCTTCGTCTAATGTATCCTGTGGTACTAGACCTTCATCGAGTTATACTTTTCTCCCACTAGTACCTCTTAGAAGAAATTCCTTCTCTAAGAAGACACTAGTATGAGCAATAAAAGTTTTACACTCTTCTGGGTGGTAGAAGTAGTATCCTTTGGTTTCCTTAGGATACCCCACAAAAATGTATTTGTTAAACTTCGGGCCTAGCTTGTTCAAAGTCAATTTCTTGACATAAGCTTCACAACCCCAAATCTTCAGATAAGACAAGTTAGACTTTTGTGCACTCCATAGTTCATATGGAGTCTTATCTATAGACTTTGACGACACACAGTTTAGTATATGGGTCGCAGTCTCTAGGGCATAACCCTAGAATTAGGTATATTTAACTCAATTTGCCACACTTGGCATAATTGTTACTTTGAAAATATCCTTATTGTTCATTTGAAGAACATACAAAATATTATGAAACAGTTCCACAAAGAATATTATTTATACCAGAGGACAACAATCCATAAGTAATAAAAGTAATACTCTTATTTGTCTAAAGTGGACACATAAATATCATTTCTCGAAACTAAGGGTAAATCATAATAATCCATAAGTTCCAATAACAAGCTCGTACGCAAAGTCAAACAATAAGATCCTATAACTAATGCAACATCACGTGCTCCATTTCCAACTAGTAGGTCCATATCTCCTCGACTAAGTGATCTACTTTGTCGCAGTCCTTGCACATTATTACAAATGTGAGAACCACATCCAGTGTCAATGACCCAAGATATAATAGGAGATGAATAAATCTCAATACACACCTTTAGAAGAAGAGGCGTTCTTCTTCTTATTCTCCAAGAAGGCCTTGTAGTGTTTCCTCCAGGGGCGAGGCTTACCATAGTAGTAGCAAACTACCTTCCCACCTTTATTGATGTCACCCTCAAACTTAAAAGCATCCTAAGGTTTGGACTTGGGTTTGGGTTTAGACTTAGCCTTAATTTTACCTTTGACCGCCCCTTTACCAGTGTTAGCAGCAACTAACATCATTGGTTTAGACTTTTAATGTCTTGCTTTACAGTCTTTAAAAAGGTTAGGAGCTCAGGACGAGTCCTCTTATTCATGCTTATATTATCTATGAACTGAGAATAAGAATCAGGTAAGGACTGCAAGACTAAGTCGATTGTCAAGTCATTATCCAAACCATATTCCAAAGTTTCAAGTCTCTCAATGTACCTGATCACCTTGAGTACATAAGGGCCAACTTTGGCACCCTCATCCATTTTGCACCTGAATAGCTGTTTCGATACCTCATACCTTTCGTTATGTTAAAGGTCGATCATGGTAGAAGGATCCATGTTCTCATACTATTTTTGCAGTTTAGGTATCATTGATGCTAACATAATGTACTTAATAAGTTCTATGCTAGTATCATCCAGAGACTTTTAGTAAACATCTCGCTATTCTCAGGTGATGTCATCACTAGGCTTTTGAGACAGAGCCTGATCAATGGTATGCAATTTACTTTCAAACTCAAGTACAATCCGAAAATCACTATACTAGTTTGAAAAATTACTACCATCCAGCATGTGTTGATTATCGAACGCATTGTAAGGTTGTTGTTGCTCATTTTATAATTCTACAAGTGCAGAAAAACAAATTTTACCATCATGTTTATTATTATTCAATAAGGTCTTTTATTAAACAATTGCTCCAACTATTTTCCTCAAGTTAATAGCCCTCGCTATTAACCCGAGAAAGCCCGTTGGCTTTCCTAGTGGGCTAAGATCTCATCTAACCCATTTCAAACATTCACTTTAGCGAACAAGCCAAAATGAGTTGATTAGCGTCAACTACCAACCTCAAATACAAACTAAGCCAACAAATCAATGGCCCCAACCATTGTCCTCAAGTGTAATTCTTAGTACCAAAAGAGTGGACACTACATGTCACCACGTACACATAACAAGTGTATTTCTCTACTATGCCTCTGACGTGTTTATCAACCTTCGCTTTGGCGAACAAACAAAACACATCATTTAAGTCGACCCATCACCATTAAGGAAAACTCCAATGAAGTTTAACCTCCCACTGGTAGAAGTGTACTCTTCGCTTTAGCGAACAAGGTTCCAACGAATAGTGGCTTAATCAAACTCATAGTGATGGAAGACTTTTAATTAAATGACTTAATATACTTTGTTGAGGGGTTTTTATTTTATATCTCACCAATTTTATCTTTATTAGCATGTTATAGTCATAACATACACACTTAGCATGCATACTAAACATAAAGGAAATGTGTTGGTGCGTAGCCTTAACTAAAACCGATTTCCTTGAGCCTAGAGGAATCGGTAAGTCAACCTAGGTAAAAGAGAATAAATGAATCTTCAAGTAATTCGCCTTCTTCATTCCAACGTTTCTTTTTCTTGAACATTACACAATTTTCAAAATAAAATTACATTCCAATTTTACATAATTGAAAAGAAACCTCGAGTCACATTCAAGGGGAGTGAGATGAGAGAGAAAAGTTACAAGAGAGAATACAGAGAAAGGCAGGACATGCAAGCCTTATTTTAAATTACATAACCCAAATAAATCTTAAACTAGGTTCATGGGCTTATGCATCAAACACCATGCATATTCACAAACAATAAGATCCATAAAACAAATCAAAATTAAATTTTGATTAGGTAGGTAAAACTGATTACCCCTTGATGTTTAGCAGTGTTATGCTTAAGTCCAACAAGTTTATAAAATTGCGACAACACTTTTATATTCAATTTGGGCTTCTCTCCCACACTTTTTATTTTCTTGTTACTTTGTTAGAATGCCCTCTCTTACTTACTATTTAGTCATCAAGGCTTGGTAGCTGCCAAGGTGTTCCCAATATCAATGGCAAATCGGTATCTAACATCCGCCTTATCAAGTCGCTCCATAGCTGTGTTCACGTAGTCCATTGAAATAACTTCAATATCAGCCGTTATGTTGTGTTTTGCTGCAAAATCAATCATCTCTTGGGTCTCTTTCATACCTCCACCCATACTCCCAGCCACTGTCTTCCTTCCTGTTGTCACATCATTTATTAATTAATTTTGCGGTCCAAATCAAAGTAACAGGTACAGATGATAACCTAAAAGACAGTAATTCTCTTAATTATCTTAAAACTTACCCATAAGTAAAGGAAAGATAGGCAACTCTAGTGGTTTTTCTGGGGCACCAACCATTATAAGCTTTCCATTGGACTTCAATAGACTGAGCAATGGCAAAAGTGGATGGACTGCAGACACCGTATCGATAATACCATCCAATGTACCCATGGCAGCCTGCAAATTTTATTTTATTTTATTTTAAAAGAAGTCTAAAAATCTAAAATTTAATTTGCTTCAAGTACGGGAATGTATCCATGAGAACAAATCATTTCGCATCGTTAAAGCACCCTAATTACCTGCATTTGTTGAGGGTCACGGCTAGCCAAAAATGAATCAGCACCAAGATGTTCCAAAGCCTCTTTCATCTTACTTGGGGAGGTACTAATTACTGTCACTTTAGCTCCAAAAGCCTTGGCAAATTTAACAGCCACATGACCAAGCCCACCAAGGCCGACAACGCCTACGTGCTTCCCTGCTTCAGCTAATCCAAAATATTTCAAGGGGCTATAAACTGTAATTCCAGCACAAAGTAGAGGAGCACCAGCAGCAAGTCGCAAGTTATCAGGGAACCGGACAATGTAGCGTTGATTGGCGACCATATGATCAGAATAGCCCCCATATGTGATTGTTCCATCAGTGTGTATGGAGTTGTACGTGAGTATCAATTTGGGACAGTAAATTTCAAGATCATTTAAACAATTTTCGCAGGAGTGACATGTACCAACTAAGCCTCCAACACCAACTTTATCTCCCACTTTTACCTTCGTTACTTTGCCACCTACTTCTGTCACTTCTCCCACGATTTCATGTTTGCAGTACGTTTTAGATAGTTAGGATAATGACGTTGAATTTGAATTAGGAATGGATGGAACTGGGGAACAAAAATACATTAAATGGATCAAGATAAGACACGACCAACAAAGTTAATCTTTTGATGGCCACATATATAACAAGCAGCTTTTAACTAGAAATAAAGTGGTTCTTTCCTAGTCTTAAGCCATAATAAAATGTCTCCAATTTCTTGTTTTGTGGAAAAATACAAGAAGAAGAAGAAGAAGAAGAAGAAGAAGAAGAAGAAGAAGAAGGAGAAGCATGATACATACCCAGGAAGCAAAGGGTAGGTAGAGTTGCCCCAATCATTTTTGATACTGTGAAGATCAGTGTAGCATATCCCACAATATAACACCTTAAACCTCACGTCTTCATCACCTGTTTCCCTGCGTATATGTTAATTAATTGTTATTATGTCTTTTCTTTTGGTAAAAAGTTGGTGAAACTCAATGTAATATTGAAATCGAATTACCTCCTCGAGAATTTGAAGGGAGAGAGATCACCTGAAGGGTCAGTGGCTGCCCACCCAAAAGCCTTTACAGGGTGTCGATCTTCCGATGACTTAGCCATTTGACAGGAGGAAAAAATGTGGAGGTGTAGTGCTTAAAATTTACAATAATAAGAGAGAAGTGAAATACTGAGGTAGTCTTAAGGTAATTTATAGAGGGAGGCGAGTATCAATAATCACAGAAGTGAGGTGAGGTGAGGTATTGTATTACGGTGGCGTGACGAACTTGGTGACCGACCCCTAGGTTAATCAATGGATATTTAAACTTTGTTTATTCAGCAAAGTGGAGATTATATGTATATGGAATCTAATTATTGTTTGGAATAGGGTCATACCACATTAGCTGACAAAATTATATTTATATAAGTGTGGTGAAATGGAGTAGTCACAAGCTTTGCGATTGATGGTGAGGAAATTTAGAAGTGAGAATATATATATAAGTGTGGTGAGGTATTGTATTACAGTGGAGGTGACATACTTGGTGACCGAACGGGGTAATATAGTCAAATTGTCAATGGCATTTAATTTTCGTTATTGACCAGGTTAAGCTAAATTTCCACTAAGCGGACATTTATATATGTGGTTATTATTTCCACAAAGCGGACATTGTGTATGTGGTTATTATTTCCACTAACAGGACATTATTCCCACTCCTTTTCGAAAATGATCAACAACTTCCCCGCATGTTTGAAGAAATGTCTGCAACCTCTATTCTCAATTCAACTCCATTCTTAGCTATTAAGTGACAGAAAAAATTAACTGAAGACTATGTGTCATTTTGGAAGGCCTAATACTGAGGAAAAAAAGGAGATTTGAAAACAAAGCAACTGCAGGACTATTAATATACAGATTAGAATCTATATTAATGGAGTTGAAGATTTATATTTTCAGCCTCGATTATTAATAGTAATTTGGTAATAATATGGGAATACTTTAGTGTTCTATGCACTGATAGACATACACACAAAAAACCCAAACAAAAAGCAAGTATGAGGTCATGAGGACAAGTACTAGTGCTGCTAACCAAAAATACACCATAATATATGGTCCTAAGTTTGAGCCAATATATACAGATTATGGTATATCTAAATTGACGAAGTCTATTCTCTACTTGACAGATGTAAACTTTGTAAGAATTAATTAAGTCTAGTCTCTTATTACTAATCTAAACTTTGTCACAATTAAATATGAATTTCTTAGTTTATGAAAGTAGAGTTATGCTTCATCTCTCTAACACAGCAAACATAATTCTGCTTCTCGTATTAGGAAGTGGTTACACTTTCACGTGTGCAGTTCACATAACATTTCACATACAACCTCAGATGTTACAAATAACTATACAAATATGAGCTTTATTAGTATGTGAAAGTTTAAACATAAAAACCTGGAAATATTTCACATATTTTTTAAATTCCCATTTGTGTTGGGTAAAGGTCTATCCTATAACTTTACTATGAATACTAAATAAAAATTCAACATAGCATCATATGCTCAAGTTTAACAGCGTTACCAACCCGAAACGAAACGAAAACAGAAGAAATGGGAATTGTGCGCGGTGCAGATCGTGCTTTGTAGTTTAGCGGCAAAGTCAGCTACCAACCGAAACGAAACTTCAAATGGAGACTACTGAACAGTTTGGAGTCTCGCACACGAGAACAGGAGTTTGTTTCTTATAGATTTTCTTTCATTTTTTGAGGACAAAATTGAGGACATCTCTTTTCTTAATTTAGCAAATTTGACACTTGTTTATCAATGTTTTATATGAATGATTGTAAACATCCAAATCTTATCGTTATATATATTCAAAACCTCGTAAAAAATTACATTGAAATGAAAATTTTCATAAATATTACATATATAGTATTAAAAGTAAGAATACTATACATGAAGACATGAAACGACAAGTCATTCATGATCTTAATTTAAAAATCCTTGATGGTAATTATCAATTAGGTCCACAAGAATTAGGGATGGGCACGGGGCGGGGCCGAGGATCCCATTACCCGTCCCCGTCCCCGTCCTCGCCTCCTAAGGGGCTTCCTCATTCCCACCCCAACCTTGCTACGGGGATGAAGGGGAATCCTCGTCCCTGCCCCACAAGGAAGGGGTGACCCCCCATACCCGCCCTGCCCCGCCTCATTCCCCACACAACGAGGAAAATTCAAAATCGAAAAAAATGTTTGCAAAAACCCTAAATCCAAAATCCAAAATCAATTTAAAACTCACCAATTTGTTTGAAGGAGGCAATGACAGTTGGAATCAACACGGTCGGCTTCGCTGAAGTCGAAAGGTGAGAAAAGAGATTCGTCGAAATCGCAAAAATCAAAAGGTGAAGAGAGATTTGTTGAAGCTGACCACAGCTCGAAAGGCAACAATGGCATGAAAGGCAACGATGGCTCGAGAGGCGACGACGATGAAGTAGAATGGTGAGAAGAGATATTCGAAAAAATCGCCCATATCGAAAAAAAAAATTGAGAGTGAAATCACAATGGAGAATGAAGAAGAATAACCCAGGTATTTATATAATGGATTCGGATCGATCCGTTATATAAATGCCTTAGGTGGGTTAACAATGCGGGCGGTAGGTACAAGGCAATGAGACATCTTCTCCCTGTCCCCACCCGATCCCTAGGGACGAGGAATTTTCTGGTCCTTGTCCCTAGTTTTTCCGAGGATTCCCTGTCTCGTAGGGGCGAGGCGTGGTGGGTCCCTAGAAAATTGGGGAATAAGCCCATCTCTAACAAGAATCATAAACCATGTGTTTCTCTTTTTTACCAAACTTATAGAGGGGTCAATTGTATTTTTCACACCCACAACATGTCGTTTCATACCTTAACGACATGTTGTAAAACTAACAATCGTTTTAATAAGTTGAAACTAGGCTTCAAAAGCAAAACAATATTGTTCTTTTGTGACGACAAGAAGTCTTTTGCCACTAAGGTGACATGTTGTAGTGATAATAAAATCAGTACACCCTCGTTAATTTTGGTTAAAATAAAGCCCCCTATATTAGGCATGACAATGGACACTAGAATTTCGGGGCCTCGTCCCGTCCCTTCCACCCCATATGGGGCGAGGACGGGAGGAATTTTAATCCTCGTCCTTGGGGATGGGGCGAGGGCGGGGGCGGGGGAAGGGCCTGCCCCGATACACGCACACACACTTACTTTACACTAATACATAATGAGTATTTTTTGAACAAATTATGGAAATGTTTAAATGGTTTTTTTGTTTTGTTTCTTCAGTTGGTGTAATTAATCAAATACATAATAAGTCTATAGTTTGGACAAGTACAATGCCTTAGCTTAAGTTTAGATGATTAATTTAAGTGTTTGTCATGTTGACGAAACTTTACATTGAAAGAGAATTAATTATTGTGTTTAGTAATGCTCAAATAGCTTTTGTAAATGTGTTTGTTCTCATAATTGATGTTAATGTAAAATTAACAGGGCGGGGACGGGCTTCTAAAATTCCCCGTGGGATGGGAATGGTGAATCCCTGTCATCCACGTAATGGGGACGGGCGAGGAGTGATTTTGAGGCTGGGGACAGGGAATAGGGTCCCCGACCTCGTCCTACCCCATTGCCATGCCTACCCTATATTTATGATTTTTGGTGGGCCTAAATTATATGAGTAATGCTAGGTTTATAACCCAATCTTACAACCTTCTCTCACAACCCCTGATGTGGCAAATTGTAATTAGTAAGTTTGCAAATGGGCAGACGAGATCCCTAGCAAGCAGGCGGGACTCAATTGCGAACTAACCAATTATGAGCTATCACGTCGGGGGTTGTGAGAGAAGGTTATGAGATTGAGTTGTAGAACATTACTGAAATTATATTTATCACGACGCTTGCCTATGAAACATCACATCGTTTACCTCGGAAACAACATCTGTTTTCTATGAGATGACGTGTAGTGCCTCTGAGAATTATCGATTTGCCGCTCTAAAGTTCGGTGAAATAAAAAAAATTAAAAAAAAAAGCCTTTGGATTTATCAAACCTAGTGGACCTAAATGATATTTACCGTAATGAATTTTAGTTTTGTAAATACATTATCTTTATTGTAGCCCTATTTTTGTTTAGAGTCTTACCGTCTAACTTTCTTAGTTCTATTGTAACATGTGTATACAATAAAAATAAATGAGAAATGAATAAATACTTTTTTTCATTTTCTCTCTCTTTTTACACTTGTTAAATAGTAAGTATAATAAAAAGAATGAAAAAGAGATTGTTTTCAGCATTTATCTTTTGTTTATCTAAGTTTGACGAAGGTTTTGTGATTTGTTTACTTTATATATATTGTAATTTTTCCAATTTAGAGTTTTTATGTAACTTTGTAACTAGTGTCATTGACTCATTACCGTATACCTGAGAGGGTATTCTAACAAAGTAACAACAAAATAAAAGTGCGGGAGCCTGTAACTTACAAATTGAATATAAACGTGCTGTCGCAAGACTAAGGTTGAAAGGTGAAGTAGGTAGTGGTAGATATCTTTGCATCTTTACTATTTTCAAGCCCCAGTAAAATCAAAAACTAGACGGACATAGTCAATTTGGTGAATCATTACCATATGTTTGATGAAATTCCTAAGAAACCACATCTATCACTTGCTGGGTCAACTTAATTCAAGTTAGAATAGCACGCAACGTAATTCTATCACATTGTGTTAAAGTGACTGAACAAAGAATAAAAAACATCTGTTATTGTTTTATACTTTTATTGAGGACTTAGAATATATTGTAATACATGATGCCATGTAGTGATATTCTATAACATAAATCTTTGCGGAAACTATGTGCATTTAGCATCTCAAAAAAATTCGAAGCAATGTGAAAAAACTTAGAAATACGCCAATAGTCATCAGGCTTGGTAGCTGCCAAGGTGTGTCCCAATATCAATGACAAATCGGTACTAACATCAGCCTTACCAAGTCTCTCCATAGCAGTGTTCACATAATCCATGAAATAACTTCAATATCAGCTGTTATGTTGTGTTTTGCTGCAAAATCAACCATCTCTTGCGTCTCTTCATTCCTCCAATTAGACTCCCAGCCACGGT